TAACAAATCATCAAAGCTAATTAGTTAATATAGACGACCAGTTTTTATTATCGATTGAGCTAGTTTGTCATGAGGACTAATCAATATAACATTACGATAATGCATGTGAGCATTAATCAGAGGACTATTGGAATACAGGGTTAACATAAATATAAAATCGATCGAGAAAGTTGAAGTGGAAATAAGGATTAATAATATTAGGTTGCGTTTCTTTAGTTGGGCTCACCAATGTAGAATTATGGTCTACTATGATATTAGTACTGCTCTAATAATAGACCTAATCCTAAATTTGTAGATTCGTCATGATATAACTGCCTAATCTATAAGATCTTACGTGGAAGTCACACCATCGACTACGCCAACTCACTGTATCGTATTAATTACCAATACATGATGAAGGAGAAGGTCAGGTTAGAGAAGGAACAATATATTTAATATGAATAGAGACCACGCCTGCATGGCCGAGCCATGCCACTCGATCAACTCCAGTCCATTCAATTCATTGTTCGCGCCTTCTCCATTGTCAGGTATTTCTCCGCGTTAAATATTGAATATCTATTTTCTGAGTAGTCTCGTGTTCACAGCTTTGTGGATTGTGTGGCTATTGTTCAATGCCACTACAGATACACCACTACATGGACCAGTCCATGGCGCGAGATTTATTTATGCGCGTTGGTAGTCCTTGATCTCGATGGGAACCGATGAACCGTTCGATCTTCAGTGACCAGATGATTTGACCAAGGCCCAGTGAAATTTCAGTGGCCCTACACAACAATCATTGTAGTTTACCAATGATGAATAGATAACAACTGGTAATCACTCAAATCCTTCGGGGGACAATCGTAGTATATACAATCAAAGTAAAGCATTTCGTAACAGGCCAAGAATTCGTGATTTATAACGGGTGTACATCTTTGACACACTTCATTGAAAAGACCTAACAAGCACTCTCGAGAGACCTGACAATTCTTTGAAAAACCTCATTCCACTTCATATTTATGCCATATTTCTTGAACGAACAATTCGGTAGAAGGTGCTTTGTGATTAGTAAATTCCCTGAGTCTTTTCCAAGGAATTGATTTTATTGAAGTGGTCCAATCCCACAAGTTATACAACTAATCAGTTAAAAATCGAAAATTCTAGCTGTGCCTGACTAGAAAAGATAAGAGTGACAGTCATTTGGTTCATTCAGTGGCAAAAACTACCAAATTATGTACTCAGTGTATCCCCTCAACGTCTTTAATGCGTTCGAAGAACCATCGAGCTCACCAACCGATAATTTTACTTGCCTGAAAACAATGGGTTGGACAGCTGTATAAATGGAAAAATCATTTAGGTAACAAGATATAACAAATATGTCAAAGGATTTCCTCGTGCTAAATGTTCGTTGGATTCATATTCATCAATAAAGTAAGCTACCTACCCGAATTAAATAAATCCTGCTATCTTTAACATGCGTTGATCGTTTCACACGACACGCTATATGTATATTAATACTAAGACTCTAAATAGCTCTTCGGATGATTTATCCCGAACTGTAGTTTCAAAAAACAGCCCACAAGTCAGCATCATGCATGAATGACCTCACTGACAATTGGAAGTTTCCTTACCATCTGTAAAAACGTGTGATGGACTAAAACTTAACTTATTTACAGCTCAGCCGCTCAATTTTCAGAGGTCCTTTCAGTGGACACATTTTCGGTGCTTGAAGTAAACTTCACTTCCTTCATGAGACAGGTTCTAAACGTTATGCCTTACACTTAAACCAATCTGAACCTGATAAACATATGTCTTTTTGCAAACAACCATAAAATATAGCACACACATCTCTGGACTTTGTATTGACTCCTCGAAAGATACACAAGCTCGCCGATAGACTGGAAGTAGTACATGTCTAGAATATGTTTCCATATGTTTCCGATAAATATAGAAATTGTGTAAGTAACCACGGGACTACAAATAGTAATCAACTGCTGGCAGGTAACGTCAATTTCTCGCAAAAAGCTGGAATCGATAAGTTCTGAGTGGTTACTTGTGTTACATCCGACACTGGTTTGATAGAAGTGTGATGTGGTAACTTCTAATGAATTGATGATGAGACATAAATTCGAAGATATAAATAGACAAGTTATATTCGTGCGTTGCAAAACACCAAAATATCGTTCGGCATCACAATAATAACAATAAATTTCATAGGAAACATCCATGTTTTAAGCTTTTAGAGTCGATAAAGGAAACAAAGGCAAAGCGGAGATCAGATGTTTGAGGTCAAAATTGTAACAAATTCATAACTTCAGTAAAATAAATACATCGAAACCCAGCAAAAGATTGGCAACGATTAAAATGACAATCTACAGTAAGTCGGAAACTGGGTTTCTCTCATAACACTTGTAGGGCGTGCAATGAAAAAGCTCGAAAAAGCTCAGGACTTATGAGAAATAAGCTCTAAAAACAGTCATTTATATGTTTCCTCCTTATTTTTCAAGCCCTCCGCAATAACCAAACATAGTACCAGAGGGAATGAAATAGAAACTGGCTTTTAGTATTCACCGCACGATTCCACAGTATGAATGAAAACAACCAGACTCCACCGGACATTGCTAACCGTTTGAAGGTTGTTTGCCGACGTGTGCTTGTTAGGTTTGAAGATTTCGCTGACAACGTCCAAGGTTTCGCATTATCATTGTAGGGTGGCAACGGACTTCGGGTCTTTAAAACTTCGGAAAACATGTGATCTTGTGGACGTTAGACATTTATGCTGACTTTTCTAGTTTCACTGTCAGTCACTCTGAAAACATCGGTCAGTCATAATCTGACTACTAAATGGAACATGCTTTTCCCTCTTTTGACTGGTAGTTAAGAAGCATCACATCCGTCTGTCAATATGGTAGAAATACCTTATTTCACCAACGCCATCTTTATTCTTGTTTGCGTTCTAGGTAAATTGCTGTGATATACTTAGAAACCAACAGCGTTCGATCCTGTCATATTCACAGTGTTTTTGCAGTGATTTATTTTCTTTCCTGACAACGACAGAATAATTGGTTGTAATTTTCACTTATGACAAAAGAGCGTTTAAGACGTTCGTAATAACCGCAGTCCTGCCCACCGTTTAATCCCTGGTTACGTTAAATTTAATTACTTTTGTGTATTGTGCTCTACTTTTATTCAAGTGACTGGCTTTTATTACTGTTAATGGAAATAAAAGGTGCTTATGTGCAATCCAGACCTAAAGTACCAAAAGTGAGATTAGAAATGTTAATAGAGCACTCAACGTCTACTACTGACTCCGAGATACTGTTAGCCAAATTAAAATCAGTGGAAATAACGTTTGTCGTTACTAGGATTCTAATGAGATCATTGTCCTATTATTGAACGTCAAAACATTTGAATTGACATTAACATTCTTAATCGTGTATTTGCCTTGACAATGAAAATGTGGTGTGATTCACTAGTTTGTAATTTACTGACAATCTTATATTATTACGTATTACATGCTTATGGGGAACAAACTGAAGTCGATTCGAATGTGCGTAAGAGATGTGAAATGAAAAATAAAGTTTGCCGACTATCATCGTAACGTTGCTTGAGCTCTCTAGCGGACCATGTAGGAAAAAACTACTGGTGTATAGTTGCCTAGTAATAGCCGTTCTTAAGCTGAAAAACGGTTGTCTTCATAGAACTTAAAGTTTCCATGTTTTTAAGCTTACTTCCTCCTGACCTACGAGGTATTTCCACTTTATTTACAACACATCCAAAATTAAAATTCCCGTTTATTATTATGAAAACGACCCAGAGGCGCATGCTAAGAGTAGGATGTGTATAATTTCCGGTTCCTCTGTAGGGAATAATGGATTCTATTTCGATCTGAGTTCCATTTCCGTCGTCACATTGTTTTCTTACAATGAGTTTCCTTTTGTATTATGGTTGTACACCCATTTTATTTGGTTGCTTTATTATATTCACCTCTTGTTTTTCAGATGGTCAAGAAATGTTAAGTCACTCTCTCGCGTGGTGTCTTACTCTGCTGAATCTGGACATAAGTAACGTGACCGCTCGGGTTATGTAGTCTGACGTCGAAGTTATGTCATCTGATAATTGCCAAACTTGGCCGGGCTATTCTTCTTCCTTAACGTTCATAGGGACTGAGTCGATCTCAATAAATGAATGGTTTCCTTAAATGGTGAGATGGAGAAATTGGTAATACATAGGAATAATGATCCTCAAATACTCATCTCTGGTTATCCTTAGCCTTAATGAAATATCTGGTAATGGTTTCAGAGGTAATGACGGTTCGGATTGATGTTTGATTTGTTCTAAGTCTGATGTTATTTCAATAAAATATGTAGCCCCCTGACTTATGTCTTTTCAGTAATTTTATTGATACACAATATGATTTATTAAACCACGACGTAGGATACGGCAAACCTACTCACTTTACCAAAAAGCGTATTAGTAGTTATTTTGGCAGAGAAATCGGTTTATTCGCAGTTATGTTTAATCTGCGGAACACAGCGGCCCCACTTATTTATATTGTACATTGTCTAGTCCGACCAGCACTGTTTCAAAAATAGCGGATACGCTGCTGGTTTTTGTTCTCTGTACGTCCTTCTGTTCTCGTTATCATTTACCTCTTAACTACTAGTTATTAGTATTTTATTACCTTATGAATATGCGAAACCGAGTTCAGTTTGACGATCACTGCGTCTACTATCGTGCCTAATATCTGTTAACTCACAGTTCCCGTGTTTAGGATATCTTCTGTGTTTTTAGGGCTCTTCATTCTATCGAGAAGTAGTTCCTGTTCACGAGAAATATGGTTGAAACTTTGTGGGTGTCTAATTTAGGGGATGTGAATTCACATCGGAAATAAGTAAATGACGTACCATTTGTAATTGTAATGCTAAGAACTTACTGCCAGTCCCGTCTACTTATATGTTTGTCACGGCGTTGAGGGGTGTGGTTTCTAAGTATACTAAGGTCGTGTTGCTGCCTGTACCGGGGTTTATGTGACTTTCTAATTTGGTCGGAAGCATTAGATGACGTGACCCGAAATTATTTGAATAGGGACATATGTGTGTCTTGAGTTTTCATATCCCCAATTCTTCGTCGTATCCGGACTGCGTTCCCCATAGTCAGGTTCTCACTATGATTAATATTGGAGGATCATGTTACTTTGACTACTTTCATTGTGTTAACTCTGTGATGGTATAGTTTCACAACTAGTACTTATGTACTCTTCCAGAAACAAATCTGGATCTCTATTTAAACGTTTGATCTAGATGGTTTTCGATTAAGCTCCAGTAGTCGTGTTTTGAAAATAATGATCCAAGATTCGCTACTTTTCCTATTCGATCACCAGAGCATCCTTTTTGTTCCTGGGTTACTTGGTGGATGGCGGTATAATGATTCATTCTGAGACTTTCTCGAGATCTTATTATTGTAAAGTGTCTTTTATAGTTTAGCTGGTATACTGTAAATATATCCTGTTATTTTTAAAAATATTTCATAACATAGATTTTAACGTGTAGATCGCTTCTGAAAATTGGTCTAGAGCTTTATTTTTTTTATAATATAGACTTATCAGTGTACATCAATTTAAGCTTACCGAAAGTTAAATCATTATAATGAAGAAACTGTTTGTAGATTCTGTACACTTATGATCAAGTTAAGTTCAATTTGCAAACATCTTGACTAAAAATACTCCGTTTTCGTAAGTGGTAGGTATACGAACTCCTCTCCTAAATATTTTGTCTAGATAAGGTAGAAATTTTTAGAGTTAATTTTGCTTCTAATATAATCCCGAATCTTCCAAATAATTCGTGATTACCACTGAAAATAATTCCCTAAAATGGTTAGTTTTAATAGCGTTATAGCTTCTGGAGTTGTCTTTCTTCAGTGGCACGAAAAATAAATCTAAATAGGTTCGATATCTAAAAAGTATGTTGAATATAGATTATCAACTTTAAAAACTCTTGATGCGTCTAGAGTTCTGTGCCATGCCACAAGATATCTACGAGCACGTGTTTTTGTGGAAGTTTCGTTTCAGTTTTTCAGAACTACAAATTTCACACCGGCTAACTGTTATCACTTATTCATTTAGGCACTCTAGATATTTGTTTTCCATACCGTAGCTGCTACCTTGACGCGGTGGTCGGGCTTACCTATCGTGATGACCCAACTGAGCTATATTGGCTGGAACATATGTTCCTGTCGATTCTACCATTCCAGGGAGGTCGGTTGGAGAACGGTAAGACTAAAGGCAGCAACTCATGATCTGCGGGCGAAGTCGTACTGTTGACTGTAAAGGGGTGTGACAACAGTAAGGCGTTTCCCCCGGACAACCAGCATCTGCAGCGATGCTGCCTTCTTACAAGGAAGGAAGTGGTTAGAAAAGGTTGACCCTTAAAATGTTACACCTCACGGATTTCCGTTTCCGGCGGTAAGGCCCTTTGAAGAACGGACCTAGCACATCAAAAACTCCCACGAAAAGGCCGTGCGTGACCAGCCTCAAGCAGTTGTCCCTTGGGCTCTGCTGTCACGCTCCCAGGTCTTCAAGGCCAACATTAATCCAACTTCCTTTTCAGGTTCCTCAAGAAAAACCCTTCCGCAGTGTGGGCAGCCGGAAATTGATATCAGCCCTCATACCCGTAACAGCACACGAGACCAAGTTGGTCACATCCAAATCCTTCCTACACCTCCCAGTACCTCTCTTATCTCCACGACTGACCCTTCTCACGTCCCTTTATCATCTCGCACCGCTATGGCAAACGATTCGAGTACGCGGAAGGTTATTCCTGGTCTCCTGAAACCACACTCTAAACTACACGTAGGAGCATTCAACGTCCGAACACTGTGCCAAATAGGACAACAGGCTTCCTTAGCCAGGACTTTAGAATCCCGCGCCATCGATGTGTGCTGCGTCTCCGAAACGCGCATACAGGATCCAAGTAGCGTCATTCATTTGACCTCACCATGCCAAAATAAAGGACCGACTCGATTTACGCTTCGTGTATCTGGGAGCCCTGATTCTGCTTCCCGTGGCCTCGCCGGCGTAGGTGTAGCATTGAGTCCTAGGGCAGAACTAACTCTCTTAGAGTGGATCCCAGTAGACAGTCGTTTGTGCGCTGTTCGACTGAACGGAACAGTAAGGATATGAAAAGATAGGGACACTCGTCGTCTCTGCCTATTCTCCCACTGACTGCAGCGCAGATGATGTAAAAGATGAGTTTTACAGAAACCTTTCCGACCTCTTCCTAAAAGCTAGGCGCTGGGATGTAGTAATAATGGCCGGTGACTTTAATGCTCAAGTAGGTAAACTAAGCGATAGGGAAAGACACCTGGGTGGATCTTATAGCATCGTGGCTCAAAGAACAGATAATGGCGACTGTCTGTTGCAGCTATGCTCAGATAACCGCCTCTTTCTTGTAAATACTAACTTCAAGCATAAGGAAAAACATCTTTTAACATGGAGACCTCCTAATTCGTCCCAACGTTGGACCCGAATAGATCACGTCGCTATCAGCCACCGGTGGAGGGGCTCCATAGAAGACTGTCGCTTGTTCTGGAGCACATGCTTAGATTCAGATCATGCTCTAATGAGAGTGCGTATTTGTCTTCGTTTTACTGGACGTTATTATTTATTTATTTTAACACATAGACATTGGTACAAGGAGGCACCAAATACATATGCGCCACACAAATCCCATTCGATATGTGTGAGGGCTGTGATACTGCACGGGTGCCCAAACCGAAGCAGGTGGTTTTCTCAGGGGGCCACTCCCCGAGCCTTCGACCTGAAGGTCTGCTCCACAAGGCAGTGGAGCATCGTAAGGAGATCCAGTCCCATGGAAGCCGGTGACCAACAATTGGTTCATACGCCATTTGTTCCCGCAGGATACTGGAGCCCTTATGCACCATTGGTTTGGAATCCGGTTAAAGCGCCGGACATTCGCTTTCCGTCCTCTCATTTTCGTAAACAACACCCCGCCACGAGAAGGCAGTGAGTAGGACTTCCCTGGCAGAGGTTATATACGCGTGGCCATGTGAGAGCATTTCGAGAGGGAGAGCGGACGTAGGAAAGACGCTGCAAAGAAACCTCTTAGGGCCCTACTTAATGATAGTTAAGCCCCGAGTATATTTGAGGAACAACTAGAAAAACAGTTGGGCAGCCGTGTTTGCGATACCCACCCTGAGGCAGCATGGAATGATATTCGAAAGGCTGTGGAAACAGCAGTGATATCTGCTAGTATGGTAAACCAAAAGGATAGGGAGAAACACTGAATCTCAGCAGCACCTACTGCACTGGTGGATGCTTGAATACTCATCCCATCTGGCTCTGAACGTAACGAAGAGCGCAGTCAGCTTAAGCGCAAGCTGACAAGAAGCCTACGCAATGATCGTGAACAATGGTGGGTAGCGAAAGGAAGAGAGATGGAAAAGGCAGCGGCAATAGGTAATAGCAAACAATTGTTCAAACCTGTTAAGGAAACCGGTATTAGGAACCCGACTGTTGGCGAAACAATTTCAGAGAAAGATGGACATATTATACATTCTCAATCCAGGAGATTAGATCGATGGGCAAAACACTTAAGGGATCAGTTCAACTGGCCTTCAGCCACAATTCGATTCCTCACGATCTCCAGTCAACCTGAATGGCAAGTTAATGTAGGTCCTCCGACTCTTTACGAAGTTGAAAAAGCTATAAGAAATTTGAAGCGAGGGAGAACAGCAGGCGCTGACAGGTTTACTCCTGAGATTTTTAAGGATGGTGGTCCAGTATTAGCAGCAAGATTAACTGAGGTCTTAGGTAGAATTTGGGAACTGGACGTAATCCCATCTGACTGGTCTCAATCACTGATTGTGCCAGTCTATAAGAAAGGACAAAAGTCCTCTTGTGACAATCACAGAGGAATCAGTTTGACTAATATAGTGTCTAAAATATTGGCCTCAATAATACTTCGACGCCTAACTAAAGCTCGTGAAGAGCAGACTAGAGAAAACCAGGCTGGTTTTCGACCTGGACGTGGTTGTATAGATCAGATATTCACACTACGTCAGGTCCTAGAACAGAGACACACATTCAGACGCCCCACAATGGTAGTATTTCTCGACCTTAAGGCGGCATTCGACTCCGTTGATCGTGAGGTTCTATGGCAGTGTTTGTCACTGAAAGGAGTACCAAAGAAGTACATTAACCTTATAAAGGCTCTCTACTCGAACACAACTGGTAGAGTAAGAGCTTATGGCGAACTGTCATCAGAATTGGTTACCTCAAGTAGTGTTCGTCAGGGCTGTCCACTCTCCATTCTTGTTTAACTTTGTCGTTGACGTTCTTTTAGAGATAACACTTTCCTCATCTAAATTTCCAGGGGTTGAACTTCTACCGGGAGATTCACTTTTTGACCTAGAATATGCCGATGACATAGTTCTATTTGGTGAAGACGTTGACAAAATGCCGAGTCTTCTGATCACTCTAAGCAACAATGCAAGCATGTTCGGAATGCGATTTTCTCCCTCGAAATGCAAAATGTTGGGATTGGGTTGCATCGACACCCGAACTAATAGTAGGGAGTGAAGTAGTTGAGCGTGTCGACCGCTTCACTTATCTGGCAAGTTTCATCGGCCCTTGTGGTCTGGTCTGTGACGAAATCTCAGCACGGATACAGAAGGCTCGACTAGCTTTCGTCAACTTGCGTCATTTATGGCGTAGGCGAGATATCCGTCTATCAACCAAAGGACGTGTTTACTGCGCAGCAGTTCGTTCCGTCCTTCTTAATGGCAGTGAGACATGGCCGGTAAGAGTAGAGGATATTCGTAGGTTATCAGTATTTGACCATAGGTGTCTTCGAAACATTGCTCGTATATCCTGGGACCATCGAGTAAGTAACGCCGTTGTTAGGAAACGGGTACTAGGTAAGGATGGCAAATCAATTGATGAAGTAGTGAAACTTCATCAGTTGAGATGGCTGGGACACCAACTGCCTCGACGTGCGATGTTCAGTGGTATAGGAGTAGGTTGCAAGAGAGCTAGGGGTGGCCAGACCGAAACATGGCACAAGTCCATGAAGTCACTGAAAAGTGGACTGAGCCATGTTGGTAGGTGTAGACTACCTGTTTGTGGACCGCGAGATGATAGCAACAGATGGTTAGAGACCCTGAATGACATGGCTCGAAATCGTTTGCAATGGCGCAGGTGCATCCACTCTTTGTGTTCTCCCATATTCTAATCTTCTGAATTCTTCATGTCCATTTTTTCCTCTTTCCAAATTTATTTCACTGGATTATACTCCTTGAATAACACCTTCAAACCCTAATCCTTCTGATTACTGCTTATACTTTTACTACCTTTGCTACTATGGGGTTTGAATTGACAACTGCATGTTTGTGCTAATGTGGTGTGGCAACTTGAACTGATGTACGTACGTACGAAGTTCTACGTTGTTACTGAATCACTGACTGGTATTTGCTCGAGTTTTTCCTATATTTGCTGTACTATTCGGGCTGTAATGCTAAATAACTTAGACTTAGATTCCAGTAGTTAACGCTAATTTAATTATTTTATATGTGCCTTTGCTGTGAAAGCCCATTTGTGAATAAAACTTGTTTCCATCACACGGTCCGATAAGTAAGATTTAGATTTTAGAAGCCTTACTTAAATTCACATGTGACAGGTGGTACTTTGGCCAGTGTGTTTTTATCTTTTGTTGCCAGTAAGCATATATGTTGTAGGGATTATTATAGAGCTATCCTTGACTATATGGCAAATAACATAAGAGAAACAACTTGAGGTTATTTGTAACCGTAATACAACTATAATTTTTACACACTTTAATCGTATAGGTCAATTCATCTCTAGTAATGACTACTGACTTTGCAAAATGCAATCCTAACAATGTCGATTCATCGAACGACCTTCCTCCGGAAATTGATAACGAAATTTTAGAAGCAGATCTTGAGGAAAAACAACGCCTAATAAGTCAGGTAAGCTTTTGTTTCTTTATTTCCATGTTTATAAATTGCTTTGAGTGATTACATAGAGACTGTAATTACTGAAAATAAGTATTTTCAAACGAAGTTTTTGTGACAAATGTTCAAGAGACATTTTCAACCTCTTCTTTGTGGAGAGCCAGGTTCTCTGGAGGTACTGGTTATCCGTGCGAAACATCCTGTTCCTATCATACATCAGTGTAATCAACTCTCATACCTGCTTTGTGTTTTGCAATCTGCCGACCGATCTACTTGTCATTGTAGGACATTAGAGAACAAGTATTTCAATCAATATAGTTCAGTTGAATTGTCGCGTTAAGCAAGCCCAGTCACTACGCCAAGTTAGCATCTATTATTTTATGGATGTAAAAATACAGTTAAATTGTTTGACAAAGTGACACTAACATACAACGTTTCCAATGTTTTGTGTTTTTAGAATTATTGTTGCATCTCATGTTGTGAATCCCTATTCAGTATCTAAATGGTTACTTGCTCAAGTCAAAACTAGGGGCTCCCGAACTGCGCGTGAAGTCATGTTTGCACGCATTAGGTCCACCTTCTAAACTTTTCAGATCTTCATAACTAATATTGATTTTATTTGTTTTTATGCTTTTTTTATCATTTCGTTCTAAACGAATGTAGATTTTGGAGCTACAACATACACTTGAGGATTTATCCACACGGGTAGATGCTGTGAAAGAAGAAAATTTAAAATTACGTTCTGAAAATCAAATCCTTGGCCAATATATCGAAAATATGATGGCAAATTCATCAGTTTTTCAATCAACATCACCACGTGTTGATGAAAATAGGTCACGTACAAATAAAAGAGTTGGGAGATGATTATAAGAAAATGTGATATATATTACATACAATAAAGTTGGCTAGAAATGCTGAAGGTAAAGATTGGGATAATTAAATTCTTAATACTTCATTTGCCCTAATTTTTTTGGGACCTGATAGTTCTGCGAATTTCAGAGTTTTGAGATCACGACAGTGATAATAATATTTGCAATGTTGGATTTCAGCTATTTTCTCATCTTCGAATGTTTCTCTTCGTAACTTTTTAAGCTGATAATCTTTGTTGTCTTTCTACTGCGCTTACACTAAACAAAGCACTTGTAATAAAATCAACGATAATATTAGTCATGTTAACATGAAGGATGGCTTTTCTGTTGTTTTTAACTTCTTATTTTATGATCTTGTGATTTTCATTTTATTACATTGATACGCTTTTAGTTTTACCTCTGCCTGAAGAAATTACATATGCATTTATATGTTAGCAAGTAAAGTGTCAATGCTGTCTGTTTTCTTTTCATGTAAACAATATTGTAATAACTTAGCCCAACGTATCTTATCATCAATAAGTGAGTTTTTCAGTAAATCTATTTGACTTACTATGTAGGAGAATTTCTAGGTGACGGAACGTTTTTGGAACTTCTGGTGTATCTCTTTAGTTTTTGTTAGTGTTGCAATGTGATGTGTCGAGTTTCAGCTAACCGTTAGTCAACAAACAATCGGGTTAAGGCGCACTACTTGTTAAATAGTCATTTAATATTAGAATCGACGATATTATTTGGCATTTTCTTATTCAGTTTGGGAGGATATGATGAAAACTAAATAGCTATTCAGTAGGTTTCAATATACTATCTTATAAAATCAATTCTTTTGGGTACATATTGTGATGAATTCCAAATATTTCGTAAAACTTCAAGATCTGGGTAAGCTTAAAAAAAAATCGTTTAATATCAAGATTCTTAGTGCTTTATTGTAGAGCTGTTATGGAGTTTCTGATACATCTAAGACTAAGTGACAATGATATGCACCTAGCGAGGCGAAAGTCCGCAAGGAACTCCAACTTTTGAAGCACTACAAATCACCGGGCCCAGATGACTTACCTCCGGCCCTTTTTAAAGATTTTAGTGACTTTCTGGCTAAGGAACTGACAGTTGTTTACAAAGGTCTGGCAGTTAGAGTGTTCTAACATCATGGAATAAGTAGATAGTTGTCCCTATCTTTAGAAAGAGTTCACGTCGTTTCTGCAATAACTATCAGAGGATAAGTCTACTTCCGATTGCGTCCAAGCTATTGATTTCCGTCATACTTCTCAGATTGTTCAAAACCTGAGAAAGATTAAATCGAGAGGAGCAGGTGGGTTTTCGTTCTGGTTAAGGATGTATTGATCATATCTTCACCCTTTTCCAAATGCTAGAATATCGTCATACTTATCACGAGCCAACAATCATAGCATTACTTGACATCAGGGCTGCCTTCGATTCGCTGGACAGGACCGTTCTCTGGAATTGTCTATTAAAGAAGGGTTTATTAACATCTTGAAAGCCCTATATACAACCACCTCTCTCCACTGTCCCATTCTAGCAGTGGGGTTAAGTAGGATTGCCAAATCTCACCATGCCTCTTCAACTTTGCTGTCGATGACGTTCTGGAAGCAGCTCTGATGGATGTAGGTGATGGTGGTGTGGATCTGTTGCCTAAAGAATGACTTTTCGACCTTGAGTATGCGGACGATATTGTCTTATTGTGCGATGGTACCCAAGCCATACAATCCGCACTTAATCAGTCGGTAATCATTGTTCGTAGGTATGGTATGTGCTTTGCACCTTCTAAGTGCAAGGTACTTTTACAAAAGTGGCAGGACCCTGAACGTGCACTCATCCTGGTTAGTGAGTGGATGGAATTAGTCGGGAAGTTCGTTTGTCTGGGTAGCTGCGTAAGTACTGGTGGTGGTGTGAGTAATGAGATCAATTCACGTATAGTGAAAACCAAAGCGGCTTATGCCAATCTGGGCCATCTTTGGTGCTTTTGTGACGTTAATCTGGCTGCAACACTTTCGAACAGTTTTGCTCTATGCTTGTGAAACCTGGCCTCTTCGAGTTGACGCTAGACGACTTGTTGTGCTATGTTAAGCCCACGTAGCTTATTCTAGCTTCCGAACAGGCGTATGTGTGCACTTATTATCCTACTAGTCACGTCTGTAACTTATTTTTATCTGACTATAAATATGGATTAACGCTTGATTAAAACGAGTTGGCTCACACGTCTCCCTTTTGCTTCGCTCTTTCCTCTTTGTTTCGTCTCTCTGATTGCCTGTTCAAATCAATGAGTGCATGATATATATATATTCAAAATCCATCCTCATATTTGATTTATTTAATTCCGTTATTCGCCAACACGTATTGAGTCGATAAGTATATACGAGAATAGCCGATATGTATATTTCAATAACATTATTACGATCCAATTAGAGTCAGATATCGGGCCACTAAAGACTCACTGTGTTTGGTCATCGTTTTCTCCGAAGGATTGTTGAAATCCAGTGGCAAAACAATGTCAGTGATGCAGGCTCGGTAACGTGTGTTCGGGCACAGCGATGATAATTCACTTGGGGTTACAATCTTGAAACATTAACTTTGGTGGTTTAGACACACCCTACCAATGTCCCAGGGAATTTTACGTCGTGCATTATTTGCTGACACTGGAATTGGTTGGAAAAAGCGGATAGGTGGTCAGTGTATGACATGGTGTCGCGGTATGAAAGAACGCTATGCAGGACTTGCTCCTCTTGGTTCTCCAAGACTCCCTGGTTGTGTGTCTTGCAAGTGGTGGATTATACGTTGTAATTGAAAAAAATTGAAAACCACCTTTGAAATTACCACTTTTCAAGAGTGCTCTAAGTCAAGGAAAATTTAATATAGTTAAAGGGTTTAGTGTCTTTTATTTATCTACTAGTTCCTCTCTACTTTTTGACTTTAACTGATATAAACATATATACCGGTTAAGTTCTGTTGATAATTACGTCGGATAATCACCAAATATGAGAGGTTACCGGGATTTGTATTGTTCAACCACATGTTGCCTCAACAGGCGATGTTGTGGGGTTTAGAAGTAAACTGGAAGACAGTCGGTCAAGCCAATACATAGCATTAGCCCATGACGTCATTGACTGTTGAACCAAACCCTATTGATAGGTTCATGCTGCCTGGTTGGGGTCCATACAGTTATCATAGTCAGTGGTTAGAGATAGGCGACAAGGCTCACAATTGATACCTATCTCGTAGATTCATTTGTTCTTTGGATTTGCTTTAGATCATGAGTCTCAAAGTCGTGTAAATTTTTTGTGCCTAACTTTTTACACTACTACTGATACCACTACTTTCACTACTGTTGGATTTGCTTGGATAATTAAATCTCGTTGAGGTAATGTAGTATGGCAACCTGAACCAGTGCATAAATGTGCCAGGTTTTACTTTGTACATAACTGACTGAAGTAAATGTTAACTAAATATGAACTAACGAGAAATTAAAACTTTAAATCTTAAATCAACGTAACGAAACGTTCAATACTTTAACTTATTTCTCAATCATATAACAATTCTCCAGAAATGATTAATCAAAGTTGAAATTCATTTAGCATTGTTAATAGACTCAATTAATTGTTCAGCTCTAGATTTGTGTTAATTTTATGTGCAATTATTATCTTCGCACAAATGTCTTCGTTTTTTTTCAACCAAGGAAACACTTGACATGATAGTCTTAACTCCGTGGATAGGTGAAATGAGATCATATTTTTTTGTATTTAGGATACATGCTGTCTGCATTTAATACTGTATGTAATCAGAATTAAACTAATAGGGATTAAGGGTGAGCCTTACTATTGAAAGTCACTCCAAATATAAGATAAGAACGGCTTATATAATTTTGTTTAATTTGTTACAATGACAATTGAAAAAAAATAATCAGTCTACACATATGGTTAACTCTTAGATCTAATAATCGGAATGTCAGTTATGTTTATGTTCGTTCATATTTTGATCAGTTCGAAACTGTAAAAAGCTCATGTATGCACTGCAAAACAATTTGATGGGACAGAAAACATTGATACCTATTTGGTTAAAAAATCCACCGACTTTAAACTACTTGCAAATAGTAAGTAGTACTTTCCGAAAATACTTCAGTTTTTTAAGTGCTTGTTGATCGAATTCAAAACTAGTGGTTATTTTTTCAACTCTGTTGTAAGGTGAATTTAGAACGAACTAGCGTTTTGATCACTGGAAAAAATGTTACTCGATAATTAATTGTTATTCGGTCAATGAAAAAGCCATTCAGTCACGTTTAACATGTTTAACATACTTGTGCACATGTTCGTTTAGTTTTTTGTCAACATGGTTCGAAGAGGTAAACTTTACAAAGGTTTACGATATCAGATTAATTACTTATGTATTGACAAGTTAGTTGGTTTGTTAAGCGAATCGATAGAAATTGGATGCAATCAAGAGTGTAGTCGATGGCGTTATCGTCTTATTTACACTTCATTTATGGGGATTTTTACTTTTCCGTTGCCAATATTATGGACTCTGTAATTGATAAGTCTCCTATTGATATATGTGCATCCTGAGTGGAATTCGTCGATATTAGCATTTAGCTACTTTTTTATTGGAGTTAAATAGTGGCGAATGATGGAACCCAGGACTCGCTTTTCATCCTATTTATAACTCGTTTGCTGGATGTTCCCATAACTCAGTGTTGGTACATATTGACTAATCATTTGAGATCCCTAATATCAAAATGTGAAAATATGAAACCCTACGAATTAAACTCATGCTCATTGCACAAGCCACCAGCTATCTGAACACAGTAGCCTAGTGGGTAATACGTTGGGACTTGAAGCCGAAGTCAGTGGGTTGGTGCCTTAGTGTGAACGCCAACACTGTAATGCTTGTTCATCCATCTGGTCAGTCCCAGATGATATGAAATGCACATCTCGAATCTTAATGTTAACCACTACCCAACCATAGATTTCACGCTTTAGATTGAATAGATTG